TTAAAAAAAATATTAAAAATATTAAAAAAAAAGATGGTAATTTATGCAAATGTATTCACGATGACCTCGACACGATCTCGTATTCACATCAATTTTATGTATGCAAATGTATTCACAATATCCCATTGTGACGTCATCCTCATGAAAAATCTTTCGTCCACGCCTGTCCAATTAAAAAAATAATTAAAAATAATTAAAAATAATTAAACAAAATAATTAAAAAAATTGATGGTAATTTATGCAAATGTATTAAAATATCCCATTGTGACGTCATCCTCATTCAAATTATCCCCTTTACGGCCATGGACGCTCATTTATGCTAATTTATGCACGAATTCCCATTGTGACGTCATTATTTATGCTAAGCTATGCACGGCCTCCCATTGTGACGTCATCCCTCCCCGTATGACGTCATCGCATCCGAGTATGAACAGCGCCCTCGTGGTCGTCCCTATAGTCCGACTTTAACTACTTTCAAGCGCTCTACCGCATTCTATGATTACGTCAGTTCTATTTTTAGTAAGATGCCTTAGTCTTCACAAGCGCCGTTTACTTGGGTCACAGAACAGTATTTACATTAGTAGATACTTCCCAGTTTTCAATATGTCAGGCAATCCAGGGATCTCCTGTAATCCTACGGTCTTCCTGTTCCGCACGTATCTGGTGTATTCCACGTAGAACGACCAATTCGAGGTTCTGGAACTGATGAACAGCGGAACAACTGCAAAATAAAATAATTTCATATTAGAAGTTAAATCTTTTGACCTACATATATAATTTTTCCCTGCCAACTTAATCATAATATGTGTAAACCAAAACAAAAACAAATGCATTTAATTTAATGAGTTTCTTGTGTGATAATATTTTCCGTTACATAACACAATGTTTGTATGTACAATTATATGCAAATTAGTAGTTCATTATGGCATATATGCGCAGATACATGCGCAGCAGTGAAAAACACAATGTTAACACTGAAACATTTTCGGTTTTTATTTTGTTATCATGATATGTCCAGCGACGTCTCGAAGAAGAATTAAATTAAATTATATTAGATTTATTCAAAATTCCCGATTTGTGTGAGTTTTGAATTTATTTTATCTTAAGATCAAGCAATAAGATGTCTAATCAGTATTTTTAAATTCATTTTTAGCCTATGGGAAATCAATTGACATGTGACGCAAATGGCCGTCGTGATCTCGTTGAGAATTGCGAGACTTGTTTTTGCCCACCTCCACCCTAATAGTGTACTATTCTCTCCTACTATCGCCCCATTGGCCCTCTGACATATGTATCCATGGTATTTTGAACAGTGGACTTGATGACGGGGGAGTATGGAACATTATTTGAGGGGAAAACTCAAGTCTCGTGATTCTCTCGCACTCAGTGTGATCTCGTCGGCCATTTCGTAATGAGTATATTAGTGGTCTTGCGCCATGTTTCCTTCACATTTTACAAACTAATTTACAATTTCAGAGATTTGACGAAGTAACACACAAATAAAGAAAAAGTTGTCGCTGTAAATGGCTTTGCTTTCAAACATTACGTCATCTTCAATGTATTGTCGTATTTCGTCGTTAGAGGGTGCAGCTGCTGTCGTAAAACTAAGTGACAATATCCTACTATGATTTATGATTACACCGCATTGTATTGTTTATAAAAATAAGAAAAAATAGAATTTTAATCAAGGATGGGTAACATTTAGGGACCATTCATTAAGCATAGTGTGGCACTATGTCGATCAGTTTACCCCCCCCCCCCCTGCAGAAAT